CCTCTTAATAAAAACAAAAGTCTGAGTCTTATTGTTTAGGTATCATGGGACGACTTAATTTTCTACAAGTCTTTATTTAATAAGACTTTTAAAAACGTTAACAGTGACTTTTCATATTAATAGTTCAGGTTAGGTAATCTTTATGGTCATTTCCACTGTCGCCTTCCGATAGGTAAGGAGAGTACCCAAATCATATCCTTTACAGATATGTGCTTCATTTTGGGGCCAGATCTCATCCTCATGGATTCCTTTTTGAATTTATTGCCTTTACATAGTTAACATGTGTGTAAACTTACTGTGTGGACTTGACAAAATGTGTTTCTTTGCAAAGAAAAAATTGTTCACTGAGAGTTTTTCAGTGTCATTTTCACCCAAATATCCAGCATATTTGCTACACCCAACTTATTATTTTCATGGTCCTCTTCACTTGGAGAGGCCTTACCATTTAGTCATCAAGGCCAGAATACTTGGAATTATTCTTATTTCCTTCCTCTCTTCCCTGTACAACATATAAATCAATAAATTGTATACTTTTGCTTCTTATGTATCTACTGCTACCTCAGTTGAAGTCCTCATAATTGTTATTTGGAATCTTCCAGTCAGTGAGGTATATTGGTTTTCCTGCAGCTAGTCTTCATCTTCTTCTAGTTGACCACTTTTCTGTACCTAGAGAATTGTTTTTCAGTTCTAAAGCTGCTCTTGTTGTTCTTCTTCAATTCTTTCATTTTTTTCTCCATTGCCTTCTAGTTAACATTGAAACTGCTTTTTAAGAACCTTTAACTTTATGTCTTTGTCAATTCTTTTTTTTTTTTTTTGTACCAGGGATCGAACTCTGGACCTTGCACTTGTGAGGCGGGTGGCGGCACCACTGAGCTAAATCCCTGGCCCCTGTTAATTCTTTATAACCAATTGCTGTGCGGTAATTGTACAAAGTTACTTACCATTACCTGGCAGATAATGTTTTTTTCACATTTGGTCCTTTATCATGCTATTTCCTAACCTTTTCTGTCTATCTTCATTTGGAAAATTTATATTTGTCATTTTTGGGGGGTACAGTGTCTCACTATGCAGCTTAGGCTGGCCTTGAGCTCCCTATGTAGCCCAGGCTGGCCCCAAACTCATGGCAATCCTCCTATGTCAGCTTTCGAGGGCTGGTTTAAGGCAGCACACCCAGCTTATATTTGTCTTTTGTTTGTTTGTTTTGTTTTTTGAGACAGGGTCTCACTGTGTAGTTGAGACTGGCCTTGAACTCACTATGTAGCCCAGGTGGTTTTGAACTCACAGCGATCCTCCTGTCTCAGCCTCCCGAGTGCTGGGATTACAGGTGTGCACCACCACGCCTGGCTTATATTTGTCTTTTAAAAATCGCCATTTGGTATATTTTTTTCTGTGAAGTCTTTCCTGACCCAATAAAGGAAGAATTTTAGTTGAGTTTTGGAGGAAACCTTGGATTTAGACAGAGAGAAGTCATTAGAGAGAGAAAATGCATAAGATACAGAGGTAGAAGTAGGAGGTAGAATCTGATCCAAGTGGGAAATTCATATTGGAGAGTACTGATAAGTGCACTGAAAAATTGGGGTCAGCTTTCTTATGGTAGAATTTAAATGATAGATTATGGAGTTTGGACTTGGCACTTGTTTAATTCTCTCCTCCCAACCACTCAGTTTTCCTCATGCCTAATGTACGTGATGCCATTGTGGTTTAAGAAGAGCCCGGATGTAGTTGGCAGGGGCATTATAGTGAGAAGGTGAACATTTCCATTTTGGAATTGTGGCAGTGGTAGAAAATACAACAATAATAGGAGACTGGAGATGTGTTACTGGATCTTGGGAGAGGAGAAAGAGGCATAATAAAGAAGAGGAGTAACCAAGAGAGAACTCTTACTCAATTTCTAAATATTAGGAAAGGAGAGAATAATATATGTGAGAGACTCTTAAGGAAAAAGTGTTAAAGCATGTAAAAATCATTCACAAGTAGAACACATAACAAAGAAAAAATACTTTTTAAAGCCTAGGTGTTACTTTTATGCTTTATGCCCTTCTCCTCCTAACTCAACAGAACCATAAAGATCAGTCAGCAGCTTCTGTGGTACATTGTTATGAGGGTTGTCCTTGAGGCATACAATGTGTGATTGTGGTGAATAGCAGAGCATGGTAGGAAAGGCTTCCGAAGGGCTTTTATTGGATAGTTTTATATGCTGTAATGTCACCTTTTCATTTTAATTTAAGCTATATGCATTTACATATTTATATTTAGCCTTCACTACTTTGTACAAATCTCATAACACATTTTTTTCAATAGATAGCAATTTCATTTACATCCATAATGATAATATCTGAATATTTACGGTATTGTTCAACCTGAACTTGATATTTCTAACTTGGCCAATTTCTGTTTTCTGTATCTTATCTGAATACTCTTTTATTTTTATTTTTATTTTTTTTCTCATTGAGTTTATTGGTACATTTTAGGGATAACAGTACAGTTACATTCATCATTGGGATCTTGTACCTTTACATGACAGGTCTTGGTTCTCATTTTTTCCCCCTTATCCTTGCCCCCCCTTCACCCCCTCCTCCCTTCCCTATTTACAAATATTTTATTTCCATTTTTTCATTTTCTCATCTTTTTTTCTTTTCCCTTTATTACCTTTCCCCTACCCTTTCCACTTCACCTACACCTTCAGCCCATTCTGAATACTCTTTTGCATATTGGGGAACTCTTGATAGTTCTGACAGAGACTCCAGATTCTGACAGAGCTGTAGAATACAACTTGAAATACTTTGACTTCCAGCAAAGGGTTCACCATTTCAATTTGCCAATTTCACCCAAACTACTTTTCAGTCTTCCAAATTTATAGGAAAACCAGATGCCAACTGAAAAATAAAAAAATTATAGAAAATCTGAAATTACTCCTTTAAGATCTTTGTCAAGTTTAAATGAGAGTATCTAGTGTGGATCCTATTGATTGCTTTTAATACACTCAGTATTTTATTGATCATGAAAGAAAAATAATGAACTTGGGATTTAGTAAGATAACACCTCCTTATGAAAAGGTTTGTTTTTGATGTACTAAAAGAAGGTAGAGTTTAGGGAGTAAGTGATCACTCTTTAGTTGAGTGCTTGCTTTTCAAATATGAAAGCTTTCAAAGGTCACTCTTCCATTGTGCTCTCTAGAATTTTTGATTCTTGCTTGTGGGCCTGCATTGGATATAGGTGGAGAAGAACATCTTACTTTTGAGGTTAACATTACTAAAGAATGTGCTATTAAATGTGGGACCTCAAATACATGATACTACTTGAAGTGTATATATGTCTTATATACAAACCCAAATTACATGTTTTGTGGTATCTTCTCATGCATTTGTTATTGAGGTCATGTATTTTATGTGACTCAAATCAAAATATCAATGGGTAGTACACTGAGAAACAAGTTTGTCCCTTGATTCAAATCTCTGGAATGTAGATTCTTTTCATTTTCTTGGCAGAAGCTAGCTTGCATAGTTTAAGTTTTTCTCTATCCTCATAAACTGTTTCATCTGACTAGTGCTTGAACTAACTTCTTGTATTTAATATTTATCTTGAATTCTTTAGTCTCACTGGAAAAATTTGGAGACACTGATTTTTTGTCTGAACTAATTTCTACTTGTCACCAAACAGAAATAACATATATTGATTAAGGAACATGTTCTGATAGATCAAATGTTCATACTTTGTTTCTTGGCATTTTAGTATGTATTCGAAAGAGAGAAAGGAGATGAGAGGAGAGAGAAAAGAAAGAATAGTTCTATTGGGAAATACTTTTGGAATATGCTGGATTTAACAAAATTAAATTTCTTTAAAATAGTACTACAGCTAGCTTTTATTTTGTGTTAATATATATTTTATATCTACAATAAAGCTATATGGCAGTGTTTTCCGTTGATTTGTCTGTCAAATCTTATTTTAGAAAGCAATTTGTCATGGTTTTAGGAGGGTCTCTTGGTCAGTGGAGTGATCTGAGCTTTTGAATTATCCCTCACTTGCAGTTTGACCTTGAAAAAAATTTGTTGTCTTTAACATTAGTTTTCTGAGTGGTGACTAAAGTCATTTCCAGCTGAAATGTGTACGTTAACACTTATATTGTTGACTTTGGATAGTAGCACTTCTTTTATCTTTTGAAACCATAGTATAATTTCAGTCAATTTTGTTAGGCTACAGGGTCTTACTTCCTATTCTGTATGAGTTCAAAAGAAGAAACCCTTTAAGTCTCTTTCCCATAGTTCACAGTCATAAGATCCTGTTTGAACTGTTAGTTCGAATCATACTTGGGGAAAAAAAGTCTTTCTCTTAAGATAACTTATCCTCTGGATCACATTTTACTATTCTCATATATCCAAATAACTGTTTTTACGTCTCCTAAGCTTACATTTATTAAAATTAATTCCAGGCTCTCCCCTTCTCCCTCAACTAAAATGGTTTCAGTATGGTAATTTCTTGTAAGAGATTAATATTAGGCATTTGTACTAATCTCACAGTTTCTTACGTGTAAATGGATAGATTTAATTTTGTGGTGATGAAGTGGTTATACTTGGGAAGTCTTATGTTTTAACTTGGAAAGTGAGTTAAGGCAGGATAACTTTGAGGTTAAAGTATATATGATTTTTGTTTGAGTTTATTTCTAGTGGCTAAAAGCATATATTTTGTTGGTTGTGGTGGTGCTATAATCCTAGCACTAAGGAGGCAGAAGTAGGAGGATTTCCATAAGATTGAGGCCAGTTGAACTACCTAGTGAGTTCAAGGCCAACCTGAACTAGATAGCAAAACCTTGTCTCAAAACAACAACAATAAAAACCTAAAAACCAAAACCAAACCAAAATAAAGAATAAAATATTCTAAGAAATTTTTTTGTAATAGTTTCATTAAGATACTAATTTGATGAAAATTAGAAATTCACTGAAAGCTTAATTAAGTTTTGTTTCTTTTCTTTCTTTTTCTCTGCGTGTGTTTCTCTATCCTAGGCTCAGCAACAAAGAAACCTGGATAACATTGTCTTGCAACAGCCTAGAATAGGCAGCAAGAGAAAATCTAAGAAAGATGTGTATACAATCTTTGATACAGAGATGGAAAGCACTAGCCCCAAATCTGAACAGGATTCAGGAATTCTGGATGTTGAAGATGAGGAAGATGATGAGGAGGTAACTAATCTTTGGACCGGGGAAGTGAGAGTTTAAATATAGTACATTTGAGATGTGAATTTATTCATATAATAGCTTTGTATGATCTGCCTATTAAATGACTTGAATTCAGATGAAACCTAATTTAAAGAAACTGCAGATATGTGAAGATAATTTACATTTTGATTTTTGGAAAGAATTTGGATTTTAAATATACTCTCACATTTTTGAAAAGATTGAAAGTTTTTGATTCTGTACTAAGTAGGTACTACATTAAGGGAGAAGAGGAATTTACCTGACTTGGAGATCAAGGGTCTAAGTGACCTCTGCAGAAACTCAAACAGTTACTTTGGACCAATAAAAGATGTCACTTTAAGGAGTGACTAGATAAAACCAGATTCACTGCTTCTTCTTTATCCTTTTCTTCTCTTACACTATCCTTCCTGTTTTTTTTCCCTCATCCCCAAAACTATGCCCAAGAACTTGTCACTCTCTAGCTTTGTAATCTTAGGAGTATCTTCATCTGTCAAATAACGATAGTAGTTTGTAAACTACACAGTTATATTGGTGTCTGTTCCATACAATTGTTCAATAAGGGGCTGGGGATTTAGCTCAGTGGTGTGGTTTCTGCCTTTGAAATGTGAGGTCCTGAATTCAATCCCTAGTACCAGGAAAAAAAAAAAGAGTTACAAAAAATGATCAACAAATGTTATTTTTTGTCTTCTTTTCACCACTCTTCCCTGTTGACTTGTATTATGTATTACTATTGTCAGTGTGCTTATCCTTATTATTCTTCTTTGATTTAAAAAAAAATCAAGACAGACATGGTGATGCATGCCTGTTGTCCCAGTACTTGGGAGGCAGATGCAGGAGGATTGCCTCAAGTCAAGGCCAGCCTAAACTGGATAGTGAGACCTTCCTCAACAACACCGCTCCAAAAAAAGAAAATTTAAACTGATTTAAATTGGGATTAAAAGCAAATATCTAAATTATTTTTTTATAATAGCAGCATTTAAGTTCAATATGTGAGGGTCTTTCACATGTTTAAAGTATGTTTTTTATATATTTTTCATTACTAAGAGGACGTTTTTTCAGTTTACTATTTTAATTAAAATATGTAATTATAGGATGTTTATTATATAAATAGGTACATTCATAGTAGAGTTTAAAAGTTTCATTTTAATGCTTATTATACCTGGATAATAAGAGCCCCTAATAGCCTTAATAGAACCAAAAAAAGTCTTTCAAGTGTTATTTAATGGACCACTTTAGAGTAAAATAACCATCCATTTGCCTGGTAATGCATGAAGTTAAAAAGGGGCAGAGGGGATTTGATTCTCTTGAATATTTTCTAGCATTTTTTCTTCTTGCCTGCAGTGACCAATATATTAAGATATAGATCCATTCGGGAGATAAGACTGTCAAGTATTAGAGACATTATAGATAATCAGTTAGTGTAGTAGTACAATAAAGCAACTATCTCAAGAAAGATCAGTTAACATTTTTCTTATCTGTTGGGTTTCCATCAAAAAATTTAAAATCATACTATGGCTTATGAAAACAGAAGTTAGGCATAGTCTGCATCCTTACATAATATACATCCCGAAGATGTGATTAGATGATAATATCAAACAATGAAATATATACCCATTTGTAAATATCATTGAGAATCTTCTGGAAAAGAATGGACCAGGAGTGGAGGTTACTTTTGGTCTTTGGAGCACACTTTGTGTCGTGGAGCTCATTCTTTACTAATTCACTGAAGATCTTGGATAAGTCCCTTTTAATGTGTGTGCCTTCTTTGCTTTGTCTTCTGAGGTCCAAAGAAGATCAAGAAAGTGGGACTAATAAAATATGTTGGGAGTTTGTCCTAAAGGATGTAGTATTGGAATTTATTTAGAAGTTAATTTTTAAGAAATGACAAACAGTTTGTATTAGGGATTTGCTGATTAAGCTTTACAACAAGAATTCAACACTTCAGTCATCTAATGGCATCCTATCTTAAAAAATATCCTACCTTATATTTATTTACTTCTCAGTTTGAATCTTCTTCAAGTGCACATTCTTAATCTCAAACCTCATGTAGAGAATTGTTTATTTAGATGTCTCCAAACTGGTTTCTTGGCATAGTTCTTGCATGGTGTGAATAAATTCTTCAGATAAGGTCTTTCATGACCCACTGTGACGTTCTGACCTTCATTCTTGTCATTCTTCAACAGACCTCATTGAGAGGAGCATAGTTTTTAGTGTATTGTGACTTTTAATCGACAAGCATGGTAACTGTAACATAGACTCCTATATGGCAGTGTTCTTAATCTGTTTGGGGTTATATATTACTTTGACAAAAATACATGAAGTCTTTCCCTAATAAAATGTGTGTGTTGTATATTCGCTCAGAAAACAGTTAATGAAATTTCAGAGATTTCATGAAACTCATTTTACCTCCAGAAAAACTTAACTACTTGAACTTCAATGTGCATAGGAATCCCCTGGGAATCAAATTAAAATGCAGATTTTGAGTCACCAGGTTGAGGATGAGTCTGATAGGAAGTCTGTATTTGTAACTAGGTTCCAGGAGTGGAAGGTACTTTTGATCTTTGAAGTACACTTCGACTCACAAAACTATAGAGGACCTCGAAGAAGCTTTTTTTTAATGCATAAATAATCTCATGAATGTTTGAGTCTTGTCTTGATTTTCTATTAAAATTATTTAAAAATTTTCCAACAAAAATTGTGGTACTTGAAGAGAAAGTGATATTTACTCTCTAAAATCTGTTGTCTGTAATGAGTTATCAGCATTTAAATGAGACCTTATAATTCAGATTAACAAGTTCAGGTGCTTTCTTATTCTCTGAAGTAAGAATATTTTACCATTCTTCTGCTTTTAATAGGAATATACTTAATACATTTTTTGAATTGAATGACATTTTTAGGTTATTAACTATGATTTGATTTTAATGATACTTAACAGAAGGTTATCAGTGTGTGCAAGTATATATTACCAAAACCTCTATCAGCTTATATTTCACCTTTCCAGGAACAGATAAATACCATGTACTATAAACAAAAAATATGTGGAAATAAGGGCAGTATTGAGTAAGAAATACTTTGAAAATCTAAGCCAGGATTTCTTCTTTGTTTCTTGGTTACTTTACTGCTTTTCATTCTTAAAATACTTTACTACTACTGTATTTGTTACTTTCCTCATATTCTAGTTTGTATCTTTGTTAATTAGTTTAGAAATAGTTAAGAAATAATCATCAACATTACATTCATGCCAATAGGCATAAAATATGGGTGAAATAAATGTTTGTTGACCAAATGACTCATGTCAGGTTTAGCTCTCTAGATTGTGGTGTCTCTTTTGAAATAATGGAATTGCTAACATATACAAATATCAAAAAAAAAAAAACCTCCATGGATGTCTTTATTGTGGTATTATAGTAATTCTGAGGTAATAGGCTGTACTAATTTGTGAGGACTGCTATAAAAAAATACTAACAGACCAGGAAGATTAAACAACAGAAATAAATTCTGTCATAATTCTGGAGGTGAAGTCCAAGATCAAGGTCCTGGCATGACTGGTTTTTCTTGCTGCTAGTCTTCATGTCTTACAGATTACTGCCTTCTAGCTGTGTTTTGCCCAGTTTTTCTTTTTGTGCATATGTAAAGGCTGTGATCCCAGCCCTTAGGAGCCTGAGGTAGGAGAATCACAAGTTTGTTGTCAGCCTGGACTACACAGCCAGTTTGTTTGAGGCCAGCCTGGACCACGAATCAAGATTTTGTCTTTTAAGAAGACGTCATTGCGATTCACATGAAAATCTGGATTTCCAACTTAATTTCTTAATCCCTGAGTTTCAGTATTGGACTGGCTTTGAATAGCAAGTGTGCCACCAATGATACGGTCTTCTCACTAAGCCACAAATCCCTCCTATTTCTACACACTGTCAGTGTGCAGTAGAACACTAGTGTGTAGAATTTTTTTCCCGCAGCATCTTCACACTGAGCTGCATCACCAGGTTTTCTTAGTTATTTATTTATTTTTTGAGCCAGGGTCTTGATCAGTTACCCAAGTTGGACATGAACTTGAGATCCTCTTGCCTCAGCCTCCAGAGTGCTGGGATTACAGATGTGCACTATGATTCTTGGCTAGAGAACACAGTAGTTTGTAGAAATTAACAGTAGTTCTAGATACTTCATATACAAAGTGTATCATTTATAAGAATACAATTTAAAATGGTGGCCTATTTCACTCATTGCTGATGCTCATTAAACTCTGTAGGCTTTGAGTGTTTTACTTCTATTTTTGTTTTTTTAAGAAGGTGTAGATACTTGGAATTTATTATTCGTTACTGACAGCAATTTAAATTGGCATATCCATGTTGAAAATTAGTTTCACATTAGCTTATGAATTGGGACATTTACATACTCAGCAATTCCTTTCTAAATCTTAAAAATTTCATTGTCATTATGTGACTATATTAGAAAACATATTCACACAATAGATGACAATAAAAATGAATGAACTGTGTTGCCAAGAACAACATAGGTTTTTTTCTTAGTAACCTCTTTTTGAGTGAAAAATACAAAGAGCCAGGTTAGATGAAATATGGCTTGTTTTATAGCATCAAAAAAAGCTATAAAAATAATATGAATATTCTTTACATTTGTGTTTTTAAAAATTAAGAGGTATAGTAAAGATGAAATTAAAAAGTCATGTATAAACTTGTGATGATAGGAAATTGTGAACCAAAAATTATGACTAAGGTCTTTCTTTTTTTCTCTTAAAATTTTTATTGGTACATATTAGGAAAGGAAAAATATGAGATAAAAGCTATGACACTAGTGTTCCTAATAAAAATTGGCCTAGGTTCAGGGATTTAGCTTAGTGGTGTCACCACTTGCCTTGCAAGCACAAGGTCCCAGGTTTGATCCCTGGTACCAAGAAAAAAAAAAAAGAATTGTTCACTAAAAAATTGCCACATGTAAAATGCCTTACAACCTCATTCAATAAAAATCAG